ACTGCCTATTTCAGCCCTCAACTGCTACCTACTCCCTCCATTCTGAATAGTCCAAGGGGAGTGCCAAGTGGGGAACAGCATTGTCCACCATGGATGTGACCAGGAGGATGTTCCTCTGACCCTGTGATGACAAGCCATGGACCCGCCTCCTTCCCATGCTCAAAGAAGCCACTCCCATTCCCTCTTCCAGCCAATCGGTTGGCCATAGCCTCTTGCAGGGGAGGGGCTAAGGGGTATAAAAGCTAGGAAAAGCTCGAGGCTGGTCTCTCACCATTTTGTAAGGCTGTCTGGAGCCACAGGATTTATGTCTGGGTGTGGACTTTCGAACACAGCCGTGAGTGGGGGAGGCACTCGCTTGTCTGTAAGTAAACAGGCACCCCAAGCTCAGTTAGCAAGTCCAATAAACTCATTAAAATTCTTCAAACAGGGGTTTGGAGAATTTTTTTCCTCAGGTTGTCGCAAGGACCTTGGGAGGAGGAGATTGGATGCCATGTGCACCTCCCAGCAGTGAATTTGACTTACAATGGATTTGCAATGCTTGCCACCTTTCCTCCACTACCCAACAGGAAAATGACAACATTTACACAGTGTTGTAGGGTAATCGAATAGGGCTGTTCAGTGAGGAGTTTTTCACTGTCTTGAATTCTGACCAGCTACCCTAAAAGCTGCATGGATCAATAAATGAGCATATCTGAAATGAAACTTTTTCTAATATGTTACAGGTATTGTTTGGATGGGCTCAGACATGATACAATGATAGTCCATTATCTCTTTTTGTAAAAAAAAATTTGACTGGAATATTGCCACATGCTCATAATCTTTCATACTACAACTGCAGAGCTGAGCAGTGGTGACAGAGACCATATAGCTTGTAATGTTGAAAATATTATGTTCTGGCTCTTTAAAGAAATGCTTGCCAATCTCTACCTTCATCTCACCTTCTAGAGTGGAATAATGTCAGCACATCAACCACTACACCCACCAAAGCAGTTGCACTTTTCCTGTTTAACATACTTCAGATACTATCCTAGTTTAATTTCCCATTGTGATAAAATGCCCTGACAAAAGCAACTTAGGAGAGAAAGGTTTATTTCAGCTCATAGTTCTAGGTTACTGCAGGGACGTCACAGTGGCAGGAGCTTGAGGGAGTGGTCATAGCACACACATAATCAGGAACAAAGCAACAAATGCATGCATACCAAGGTTAAACCTGCTTTCTCCAGTCTCACACAGTTCAGAATCTCCTGCCTAGGGAATGGCACCACCCACAGTGGGCAGGTTTTCCCACCTCAATTGACATAATCAAGAAAATCTCCATCAGAAAATAATGGTACTGGAGAGACATCTCAGCAGTTAAGAGCACTTACTGCTCTTCCAGAGGAACTGGGTTTGGTTCCTAGCACCCATACTTAACTACAGTTCCAGGGGATCCATGCATGCGGTACACTTACATACATGTAGGCAAGACACTCATACATACAACATAAATTTTTTTAAAAAAGATAATCCTCCACAGGCATGCCCACAGCCAATCTTAGAGAGCCCTTCTTAGAGATTCCCTTCCCAGGTGATTCTAGAGTGTGTCAAGTTGGTAATTAAAACTAACCATCACGAACATAGATTATCTTTTCTAATATTTGTCTCCCCTGCTATTTTTAAGTTCCCTAAGGACAGTTAACAGTGACCTGTTTTATCCTTTGCTGATGCCATCACCCCAACAACTTCAGCAACATGAACATTTCTCACCTTTGGGAGGAAGCTGTGCCCCACAGTGTCTCCTTTGAGAGGTAGTAGAAATAAGCTTGGATTCTCATAAGTGGCAGAGGGCGACTGTGACACTCAGCATGTGCCACTGAACATGGACCTAGGGCTCTCCTCATGGAGAAACCCACCCATGAACTCATGTCATCCACCCCTGCCCTAGGAGCCCTAGCACATTAGTGCCATAAATTGTGATGTCACTAAAGTAGCGAAGACCAGCCTGCGTCAGCGTTCAGAGGAATAGTGACAACTTCCTAAGGGAAGTAAGTGTGTGAAGTCAGACGGGTCAGGCCTAGTTATGGGTCTGCTTTCATTTCTTTTTAGGTCTTTTGAAAGAAAAGATGGGGGCTGGAGAGATGGCTCAGCAGTTAAGAGCAGTGGCTGCTCTTGCAGAGGACCCGGGTTCAATTCCCACATCCACATGGTGGCTAACAACCATCCCTAACTCCAGTTCCAGAGGATCCAACACCCTCTTCTGGCTTCCGTGGGCATTGCACGATATAGGTGCACTTACATATATGCAGGCAATACATTGAATCACATAAACTAAAAATAATAAATAAATCTAAAAAGAGAAAAAAGAAAGAAAAGATGACAAAGACTGCAAATGCAGCCCAAATTATCTACTTGGGGGACCGAGAATCCCATTTTATCTGTAAATGCTAGCAACTTTCCCCTTTCATCACCCAGTCTAACAGAAGTTTTACAACAAATAGGCAGAAATTAAAACTACAGGGTAGTGGTCTTAATGAGTCTTAATGAGTTTAATAACATACAGAATAATAAACAGTAAAGAGACAAGCTTTAATTTGACACTCAATTTTTTGAAGCACTATGCTGAAAAGACACAAAATACTGGGGTCCAGCAAAGAAAACTGCAATCACAACTCCAAGTCTCGTTACACTCTGCTATTAACTCAGGAACATTCCGCAGCAACAGGTCAGTCAGGATAGGATTCCGGGCAAGTTGGGGCCTGCGTTAAAACAGCCAAGAATGTCTCTATCACAGGGAAAGAAAGAGTAAGCGAGGTATTAAAAAATCTCCCCTGGATATAGTTTACTAAAAAAGAGAAACAACAACAAAACGTTGGGCAGAATCTTTGCATCAGCAATTTTTCCCTTTTCTACATAGATGGCAACTACAAAACTCATCCAAACTCAGGAGCCTTGGCCTAGAAGACGGAAGGACAGATGGAGGGAGGTCTCTTGCTTTTATCCACGCAGATGAGGTGGTGGTTGACACTGTTTTCTGAGGACAGAGGCGGTGCTCTTCCTGAGGAAAGCAATGTGACTTTCTCCATTAAGCCAAATAAAAACTGTTTCTCTTGCTATGTAGCTCACGCTGGCATCAAACTCAAGATTCTCCTGCTTCTGCCTCCCAAGTGCTCTGAAATCCCAAGTGGGATTATAGGCCACCACCCCTGGCTGTTTTTCCACATTACATTAGCCAAAAAAAAAAAAAAAATGGCAAAGATGAAACATAAAAATTAAAAACTGAAAACTTAGGATGAAATAAAAATGCAACCAAACCAAAAAAGC